CACCTCACGTCTCTGTCCTTCCCGCAGGCTCCGAAGCTGGCTGAGACCTACTGCGTCTGCCACCTGGCCACCGGGGACATGCTGCGGGCCATGGTGGCCTCGGGCTCCGAGCTGGGCAAGCGGCTCAAGGAGACGATGGATGCGGGGAAGCTGGTGGGTGGGGGGTTCCTTCTTGTTATCTGTCTTGTTATTTTAGTCTGGGGAAGAGGGAGAACCTTCTCTCTCTCTACAACTGCCTGGAAGGAGGGTGTAGTGAGGGGGGGGTTGGTCTCTTCTCCCAGGTAACCAGCGATAGGATGAGACGCAATGGCCTCAGGTTGCCTCAGGGGGTGTTTAGACTGGACATTGGGAACAATTTCTTTCCTGAAAGGAGTGGTCAGGCACTGGACCAGGCTCCCAGAGCAGTGGTGGAGTCCCCATCCCTAGAGGGGTTCAAAAACCATGTGGATGTGGCACTTGGGGACATGATTTAGCAGGCGTGGTGGTGTTGGGGTGACGGTTGGACTTGATGATCTCAGAGGTCTTTTCCAACCTTTATGATTCCATGATCCTGCAGGAGCAGCATCCCGTAAAAACAGCCTTCCTCTTCAAACCGGCTCCTTGCTTACCAGCAGCCTCTGTCGCTGGGTTGCCGCTTTCTGCCGCGGTGCTTTCGCGTTCGCGGGGCACAGCCTGGGTGTGCTCCGTGGCTCCCGAACGCTGTTTGGAGGTGAAGGTTTATCCCTGGAGCTGCAGAAAGTTACAGCCACGCGCTGCGGCTTCTGTGTCTCTTCACGTGATGCCTGGACCTCGGTGGGGTGGAAGACTTTGTTCAGAGGGGTCACCTGTGTCCCAGCTCTTGCATAAATGCCATTTGCCTGTAAATGGAAGGTGAAAACAGACTTAGGGGGGGTTGCTGTGGTGGTTACAGTGGGTGCTGCGTAATGCTGGGTGAAACAGACCCTTTGGATCCCCAAGAGATAGGAGTTAGGATCTTTAACACATCCATTTTTCTGATTACCTTGCCAAAATGACAGAAATATCTCAAGGACGGGAAGTTGCAGCGACTTGCCCCAAAGCTAAGGGTGTGGGACAGACACTGGGCATCGCTCCTGGCTGTCACGGCTGTGTAACACCCCGCGGAGAAGCTGCGGGCCCCGGGAGGGAAGAGCGACGTGGCTTATCTCCAGCTTTCCCTCAAAGCTAGCGTTGCAACGCCGCGCCTGCCGTGTCCCAGCTGGGTATGGAAGATAGGGACGTTATCTGGCAAGGCTGGTGGTATCTGCCACGTGTGTGCGGCAGCCGGGGCCGGCTGCTCCGTGGGTGCGTCGCAGCGAGCGTACCCTGGGCTCTGCGATAACTCAGCTGGTAGCACAGCAGCGTTTGGGGTGGGTTTTTATGCTCGATTATGAAGCAGGACCCCTTTGTCCAAAAGGGGTGATCAGGAAAGCACAGAAGGGCCTTGCTGCTTTGCCCAAAGCGCCTCCCGCCCGAACGCTTCCTGCTGCAGGGCTCCTGTTTGTGTGCTGGCGCGGTACGGTTCCCAGTCCTGCCGGGTCCCAGCTGCGTGTGCTGGGGGAAGCGGCGCTGCTGAGAGCTGCTCTCGAGCAAAGGGCTCTTGTTGGGGCTGCGGCATCTGTCGGTGCTTTCCAAACGCTGTGGAAGAGGCACTGATCCCAGCGGTCTGCTGAGATCGTGATATGGGGACGAACTATCCAGCGAGGCCAGAGCTTCTCAGCAACTACCGGGCATTTACCTTCACGCGAGGTTTGTGAGAGTCAGGGAGCAACTCGCCGGCTTTGCCCTTCCTGGCCAGGCTGGCCCAGGGGGATGTGTGGGTGAAGGTACAAAGTAACAGGAAATAGAGATTATGTCGATATTTTGTATCGTGAATTGGTTTAAAAAAGAAATGACCTAGGGAGTTTGTCTTCAAGCTGACCTTCTCCCTTGAAATACATCAACCTTTGTGACACAGCGAGGTCGCAGCGCTGCTGCAAGTCCCTGCACAGGCTGCGGCGTCCCCGGTGTGAAATGTCTCATAGCCACGTCTTAAGCGTTGACACCCATGGCAGGGAGCGCTTCCCCGACGCGGGCAGGTCTGAACGCGCAGCTTTCGCCCTGTGAACGGCAGTGGCTGCGGCCTCTGGGACCAGGAGCGGCTCTAAACGGAGCCTGGGAGCTGGCGCGGCTGCAAGAACGGCTTCCTCCTGGACGGCTTCCCGCGCACGGTGAAGCAGGCCGAAATGGTACGTGAGCCCCTTTTCGGGGACTGCTCTGGCGTCTCCTGCTTCCCTGGAGATGGGTGCCCGGCTGTGCCGCTGCCCCTCTGAGCTGGGTGTCTCTGTTCCAGCTGGATGAGCTCCTGGAGAAGAGGAGAGAGAAGCTGGACTCCGTCATTGAGTTCAGCATCCCCGACTCCTTGCTCATCCGGAGAATCACTGGCCGGTAATTCTTCTCTCCCAGATACTTGGGGCACGGGGTGGGGTTTCCTAGTTTCGGGGAGAGCATCCTAATTTCGATCCCCGTGTCATTCTCGCAGTGTTTGGCGCTAGCTGCGGTGCCCGTCTGTATTAGATGTCTGCTCTGTTCAAGCCTTCCTGCCCTGATCCCTTGCCTGCTCTCCCACCCTTGAGCAGAGCCCGTTCGTTGCCCTGTAAACGGGGGTTACCGATACGAATCGGCGGCCTTGGTGACCCAGCCCAACCTTTCAGCCCGGTGTGCCACAGCTGATGTCTTCGTGCTCTTGCTTCTGTGGAGCCATCGCTGCTCCCTGACGCAGGACAGCGCACAGGCGTTGGGCACTGCTGACACCCCGTCTGGGGTCAGCTGTGGTCGTGCAGACACCCAGGCGTCTCCCACTGTGCTGCTGCACTCTCTCACCGCAGCTCCTCCAGGAGCTACTCCCTTCCCCAGTAAAGCATAAAATAAAAATCCCTTCTCCATCTCCCAGCACAGCTGCTTTTTTCAGATGCCTGAAGAGGCCCTTGGTACAGAAATAGCTGGAAGAGGGGTTTCTTAGCAGAGAGAGGCCAATCGGGTTGCTGTTGCAGAGGTTTCTGTGCTGATGAGTGGCAGGTTCAGGAGACCTTGTCCCAGCGCCGGGCTACTTTGCTGACACTTGCTTTCTGTCTTAGGCTGATTCACCCAGCGAGTGGCCGCTCTTATCACGAGGAGTTCAGACCCCCGAAAGAGCACATGAAGGACGATGTATGTGAGCTCCCCAGGCCGCAGCTTACGTTGCTTTGGGTTTAGCTGATGCTTTTCAGCAACCCTGGAAAAACTCTTTTCTTTCCTTCTCTCGTACCTCCTGTCCTGGCTTTCTGGGGAGCGTGGGGAGCTGCCTGGGCAGCCTGAGCACTGCGGGGAGCGAGGTCTGGAGGGATGAGTGAAGGGCATGGTTATTCCGCAGAGCCGGCCCGGGCTCTGCCAGCCTCGGAACTTGTTGGACTCTGTCCATAGCTGAAGGTGCGGTGGGTTGTGACTGGTTTCCCTCCTGGGGAGCAACTGTAGCTGGTGTCTGCTCTCGAGGCTCCTTGGGCTCCTTTTAGCAAGCAGAGTGGTGCGCAGGGGAAAGACCACGATGCTGAATCCTTCTCTCTTCAGCGACTGCTCTGGGACTTCTTTCAGCTGCTCTGAGTTTGTTCCGCTCTCCCCTGCGGACCTGGGGATCGCCTCTGCAGCTCCACATTGTAGCCTGTCCTGGAGGAGGGGAGCAGGGGTTGTCATAGCTGCACAGAGATGGGGGGAGCGTGCCAGGCTGCAGCTAGCTGGAGACTGTCCCCTTGCTTCTCCCAGGTCACTGGAGAGCCCCTGATCCGCCGTTCGGACGATAACGAAACAGCCTTGAAAACCCGCCTGAAGGCCTATCACACGCAGACCTCTCCCCTGGTCTCCTACTACAGCAAGCGAGGGATCCATACGGCGGTGGATGCCTCCCAGTCTCCCGACGTGGTGTTTGCTAGCATCCTGGCAGCCTTCTCGAGAGCAACATGTAAAGACCTGGTTATGTTCACTTAGGGCTCTGTCCCAGGACGGAGCTCTCCCTTCTTTGTCTCTCTGTCTCTCCATCTCTGTCTCTTTGGGGCTAGGGAGGGTGAAGAGCTAAGCAGAGTAGAAGAGGAGGGGACAAGACGATGCAGCCCGAGGCAGGGCTGTGCTAATTCTCTATTAAACAAGCTGTTAACGGTCTCTATCTGGGTATATGTGAATGTCGGTCTGTGTGGATGCTGGAGCCCTGGCCCCTAGAGGTCGCAGCGAGCCCGAGCACCGGCTGCCAGAAGTGGGGTTTGCACCCCTTCAGCTCCAAAGGCTTTCGCTTCATTCTAGAGCTGTAGCTCCTTTTTGTGCTTCCAGCTCCTCCTGGCCGCTCCACAGGGGACTGACTAGCAGAAGGCTGGAGATCAGGGCTGAGCGTTGCGGGGAGGAAGGACCTTCGCAGGGTGCGGGACAGCGGATGTTCTCTGTCGGCTGCAGGACACGAAATGCGGGGCTGCTGGTGGGAAGCGTGCGGAGGGCTCTGTGTGTGCGCCCGCCGGGGAGGGACGGCGTGGCTGTGCGTGTGAGGGCAGCCTGCTGCTGCTCGGGGCTGGGTGAGAGCTTGTTCTCGTTGTATGTGTTTCATGTCTGTATGTCTGTATTCTCTGTGGGACAGCAGGTTACCTGAGAACACAGCCCGTCTTCCTCCCACTCTGATGCAAGAGGGTGGGTGAGAGCTGGGGGTTTTCAGCCTCTCCTCGTCTGTGGGACCCAATATAGCAAATATTAGTGGGGTGCTTTTTGCTTTTTTTTTTTTTTAACAACATGAAGTCTCTGGTCAGAGTCTCACAGTCACTGTGTGTGGCACGTTGGGATCTCCTGAGGACAAGAAAAGGACCTGGGTTTTATCTCTCCACTCTTGCCTTGGCTTTGGCCAAGGAGATGAAGATGTGTTGAGGTTCTTCTGATCCCAAAGTCTAAATAAAGCCTTGCTGCAAAACAAATTCTTTTTCAAGGCCTGAGAGACAGAATAATTAACCACTGGCTTCACGTGCCCTTGAGCCAACGACCTTCGTTATGAGATCATGGAAATGTACTCATTTCTTGAGCAAATCAAATGGCTCTGTCAGGCTGTCCATCTGAGGACACTGTGTGCGGTGTGGTTAGCGTCCCGGCTTCTCAGGGCCGTTACGCTGCTATATGGTGACTGTGCAAGGCTGGGGATGGCCTTTGCCCATCCAGGGTTCCAGCCCTTCCTAAAGGATCCCTCTGTAAGTGCAGATTGGCGCGGATTAAACTTTGTCCTTTGGCTTTCCATGTACGTTTACTGATTCAGTGCTATTGAGTACCCTCCTCGTATGAGGAGATGGCCCGTCTCGCTTCTGTGCACTGAGCTGCTCTGTCCAGAGCAGATGCCTAATCCTCAGGAATCCCTTGCTCTTTTTCTTGATAATTTCTCTTTTGTCTGAAAATAGCTCTCTGTCCTCGTACATCCTTTCCAGGGAAACAACCCCTTCCCTTCCAGAAAACTGGAAACAACACCAGAAACTGCAAGCGGATGACTTGTTGCTCTTGAAAGCATGTGATTGCAGGGAGAGGGGGACTGAAAGTAAACGGTGCTGGTTTCGTCAGCAGCCTGCGGTCCCCTGAGGTTCCCCCGGACGGCCGTTGCCTTGCCGATCCTCTCTGGTTTTCCTGTGAAAGGGCAGCCCCGGCGCGTGGCCTCAGCGTGCTGGGAGGTCAGGACAGCATTTAGCATTGGACTGCCGTGCTCCAGGGTACTGGAGGGGAAAGTGTGTTAGAGCTGCCCCGGCATCTCGACGGCTGTAAAGAAATTCAGAGGGGAAGCAGCTTTTATCCTGGCATCTCGAGAGAGTCAGAGAGGAGAGCTGCAGCCCCCTGCGTGCTGCCATGATGGCAGGGGGGGTTCCCAGCCAGTTGGTGCTCCTGGATTTGGTCAAGGTTTTACTCCACAGCAAGAACAATGTGTTCTTCCACTCTTTGTTCCTCTTCCCCTTTTGTGCTCGCTTTGCGTCCAGCTCGCCAGCCTTTTTCTGCCATAAACCATAATTCATTTTGGGTTTTTTTCCCCTAAATCTATTTTTTCTTTGTTCCCATTTATTCCAGCTGAGTGACTCCGTGAACCAGATGAGAGACCACCAAACGCTGCACACTGCTACATCACCCATTGCAGCCCTCCCCTGGGTGCAGGGGAGGCAGGGAGGGCAGCCGGGAGGGGGTTACGATTGGTGGGAGGGGAATACGGAGGTGGTAGACAAGGGGCTCGGGGGCTGATTTGGTTGGTTTTTGTTTGGATTTCTTATTCAGCAGAATCTTTGTGAAGAGGAGATGGCCTTCTCCTTAGAAATCACAGTTTGGGGAGGCAGAACAATCGTACAGAGTGAAACATCTCTGCCAGTGATCAGAGGCGGGTCCTTGACCTGTTGGGAGGGTAGGGCTAGATGCTGTTCCAGGCGTCTCCAGGACTTCCAGGGCTTGTCCCATCGGCTCTTGGTACTCTGAGGCCACTGCAAGGTTTGCTGTGATTTTTCTAAAGTCACTTCATGTCAGCGAGGACCAAAATGAACAAATGACTCCATCATTTCTGAAATGGAAAGGAAAAAAAGATGCCATGGTCTTTTCCTGGAAGTTTTGTTTTTCTTGTTCTGCTGCATTCCTGAACCCTGGCATAGAGACTTCTCAAGGTTTCTCTGCTGCTGAACAGAGGGGCTGCGGCTCTAGTCCAAGCCTGCCTTACTTGGCAATGGGGTGGCTTTTCTGTGATCTTGACCAAGCTGGAATTCACACAATGCTGAAGAAATGCAAAAAGAGACTTTCTTAATTGACTGCATAAATAACACTTAATGGGGTTTTTTACATTTCTTTTTAGATCAAATGGTGCCTTGTCTAACCTCTGAATCAGTAATAAAATAACCCCTTTACATTTTGTATCTGTTGCTGTGTCCTTTTTGACCTGCAGCCAGCGTGGAAGACGAGAGGAGGCAGATGACAGCATAGCCGACTAACAGTTGAGCTGGGTGGATCCTCTGGCCTGATCCTATCTCAAGGATGTTGTTCTGTGCAGCTGGAAACGTGGCTTGTAATTCCTTTTATCTCTTTTCCTTGCTGAGTGTGTTCCAATGCTTTGTATCACCACAGCAATGGTGTCTTTGGCTGCTCTTCTCTCTCCTGTTTCTTCGTGTGTGATGCTGAAAGCACCGAGCCCCTGCGTATCCTGACCCTTCCTGCTCAGGGCTCCTTTCGGGTATTTTTAACTGATGTAGTTCCTAGCCTGCCTTCTCGTCGCTGGTTTGTGGAGGAGCTGATGTTATTTCCTTCTCTCCCTGCCACATACTGTGTCTTCTCTTTCTGCTCATTTGCTTTCTGCCTTTCCTACCTTGTATCCCTCCCTTACCCTCCACCGGTGCCTCTCTCTAGCTACGCAGGGCAAAATGTCTAATGCAAGAAACAAGAGCATTTCCTGGCCTCGCTTTGTCCTGCGGGACCCTGACCCCGGCTCTCTGAGGTATCTCGGAAGAAGGCTGTTCGTGATGTGCCGATGCAGGCTCGTTGTTTTTCCGCAATGCCCTTGGTACCCCCCTTGCAGCCCTGCTTGTGTCCAGCGCTTTGGTTTCGGCACTGTGGACAGGCAGCAGAAAGGGTCAGGCTGCACATGCCCATTTCCTCCAGAAATGACTGGTTTCTTCAGCGTAACTGGGCTCTCTCCCTCCTCTGCCATTCGGTCTCTCTGTGCCCTGGTGTTTTCACTACCTCTCTGTACCGCTGATGAGCATTCTCTCTCTTTTGAAGGCAAGCTTGTGCCTCTCTGGCATTTGTGGTGCTCTTCCCTTGTTTCTTTTGATGATGGATGTTAAACTATGCTCTTCCTCGTTGTTTGGGATTGTGTCCTCTACTACTTGCCTGCTGTTGTTTTAAAAACCTGTTCCGCCTGCTCCTCCTGGCTTTCTAGTACGTGGGACGGAGAAGTCTTGGCTCCTCTGAGCGGGGCTTCTTCCGGTTGATCCTCACCTCAGAGTGGGGCGTGAAATGAATCGTCAGGGTGCTGTGGGAGGGGCTGCTGCGGGGAGGCTGATTAGCTCAAGCCTAACTCTTCTGTAGCTGGATCTGTTCTGTGACCTGTCTCTGTCACGTTGACCTTGAATGTTTTCCACAGCATGCGATGCTCTGCAGGTGCTGTAAATTCCTTCTGTTCAGTGACTTCACTCCAGCAAGCTGCTTATCAGGCACTCTTTTGAAAACTGTGTTCGTATTTCATACACGCAATTATTCAGCAACTATAAAAGGGGAAATTTCCTATTTATAGCACAAGGACCAGCATCAAATAGGACACTGAATTCTCACTGATAGAGGAAGTGACCTGTTCTCTAATGCAGCAATATTTCTGCTGAAAACCAGCATCTCGGATGGGGGGCAGGGATAAAAAGCCCTGGGCCATCTCTTTCCATTAAAAATGTGCTGCAGTCCTAAAAATATAGTATTTGTCCTTCTCCCTTCCTGATGAAACCATCTGTGGAAAAAAAGACAGCAGAAAAACCTTTCACTGTGGGTTTGCGGTCAGTAATAATGAGTCCACTGACTCCTGATGCTCTGGTTTGGAGCTGGTCTTAAGTTTCTGATGGATACCTGATCTCTGACCTTGACCGGAGGAGAAGTCACTACAGAATGCGTGCTGTGGGCAAGCAGCACCAGTCCCTCATCTGTAGAGAGTTTGTACAATCATGATACACGTGTGGGCAGCCCAGAAACAGAGAGAGCACGCGGTGCTGAGGAACAAAGAACTGGCTGAGAGCAATGAATGGAGGGGTTGGGAAGGTGGGGAGAGCGCTGGGGACACGGGCGGCAGCTGCTGCGGAGAAGGCGAGTGCCTGCTTTGCCTGAGCCTGCTTCCCGTCACCGCCTCTGCTCTCCCTTCCCTTCTGGGTAGGCCGAGGCACCGCTTCCCCGAGGCCATACTGGTGTTGCTGGCCTCTGCCTGCTGCCGTTCCCTGTTGTCACCCGTTCCCTGTTGTCACCCTGTCCCTCCTGCAGTCTCCAGGCTCCTTAGGAAGAGCTGCAGTGGGTGATACCAAGCAAGGCCCTGGGAGGTGGAGGACCAGAGGACGGGATTCCCTCTCCTGTCGCTGTGGCAACTGTTGAGAAGGGAAGCGGGAAGGGTGCGATGGGCGGCTGAGTGGCTGGCGGGGTGTGCTGGGGAGGCTGCGGAGGCAGGGCTGCTGACATCACGCCGGGGAGGTGGCGCAGAGGGAAGGGCAGTGGGGAAGGGAGAGCCAGGGAGACTGCGGAGGGAAGAGCGCTGCATCGGGAGTGGGCTCCAGGGTGAGGTAAGGGACGCTCTGGGGACAGCGGGTCAGGGTGGGTGGGCTCCACGAGCGGCTGCGGAATCAGAGCCTGCCTCGGCATCTTTCTGGCTGACGTGCTGATGTGGGATGGCTCTTGGGCAGCAGCGATATTATACAATGCCTTAACAGCCTGGCACAGCAGGGCTTGGTTCTTGGACAGCGAGAGCGGGTCAGAGCCTGGCTGGCTGGTGCAGAAACTGCGAATGCGTCCCCCCAGGATACCAGTGTGTGTCACTGACACTGTGCTGGGAAGAGCCAGGACTATCCACCTCCAGGATGGGACTGGGGAGCAGCCCTGGTCCCTCTCTGGAGAAGGGGACCAGAGTTCCCTCTTGGGATTAGAGCAGCACGAATCACTGATGAAATGAATCAGAAGTTTGGAGACCCAGTCCCCTGAGCTGCACCTAGCTGACAGGAGGCTGTAAGCAGAGCTGGTGCACTGGGACAGGGCCCAGCAGTGTGCATTTGGGGTGGGAATCCTGAACTGCACATCTCTAACCACCTCAACGCTTACCCTGCTCGTGCAGGAAGCAATAGTTCTGGGGAAGACAGCCAGGTGCACAGTTATTGCTGGGAGCTCTCTGGATGTGAATCCTGGGGATCTTACAGACCTGGAAGGCAAAATAACAAAGTCCTTGAAGCTGTTCTGGATGTCATATTGCCTTTTAGTATAACAGTTGCATAACGGGATCTGATCTGCTAGCGAAGAAGGGGTGACAGTCACCTCTGTGCCCTGCAGCATCCCAGCGGTACCTATGCACTGTGCTGGCCCACAGCCCTGGGGTGAATTTCCTCTCTCTTCCTAATCCAAAAGCTGGGCTCATTCTTTAATGCTTGAAAAAGCTGGTGGGTTTACAGCTCCGATTCCACGGCAGGGGAGGTGCATGGACTCTACACCTACACGCAGGCTGGGCAGCAGTGCCCTGCAGTACATTAGCAAACTAGAAAGTGTGTTCATTAGCACCTACTCAATCTGCACTAACCAGACTTTTGCCCATCAGGGTCCTCAGTGTGCATCTGACTGAGGAAAGCACATCTGGGGTCAGGAGTCCATTGCGAGTAACCCCTGTGGGTGTGAGAAACCAGTACTGGGGTGGAGATGGAAGAGGCACAAAGCAGAAACTCAGTAGGGCTGAAGAAACCTTGTTTGAAATCCAAAATCAGGGAGAGGCCAATGCTCCTGTCACAACTGTTTTGTTGAAATAACTTTCACATGTTTCCCATGTTTCATGTGTCATTTAAAGGGCTGGGGGCAGCAGTGGGGTCATGAAGAAATGCAGCCAGGA